TGGGTCCGGTGCTATATCATGTTAGTGCCAAGGGCATGGTCTGGAAGCGGCATGCTGATCAGTTACGGACAAGAGTAGCCAAATACACTGATGATGGTGAAACCGAGGCTGTATCATGCATCATACCTCCACCGATCTCGACAGTTGGGATTTCAACCACAGAAGCAGTTTTGGGTCAACCGAGTCAACTGGACCAACCGGACCAATCACCAGGAGATGTTCCACAACTGGAGCAAGACCCTACTGTATTGTCGCCAGTGGTAGGCGTGCCAGAAGAAGTACCACCTAAAGTCAAGACTACCAGATCTGGGAGGGTTGTGCGAACGCCCTCTAGATTTAAGGACTTTGAACATTAAGCTATTAGGTCAAAGATAGCTAGGACTTGTTGAGTTTACCAGAATTAGTGAGGGGGGAATTGTAAGATATTACTTCCGCTTACTAGAGAGATTTACTATCGTATATTATGCATGTATGTAATTCATTAGCATAACTGCACGTGGAGAATAAAGCAGAATAAGTGTGGCCATCTTGTTTCTTGATGTGGTCAAAATACAACATTAATGGCCTTTTTTATTATAAACATTGATACTAAACAAAAAGCAAAGGGGTCTTAGTTAAACGAAACATTGTATCTGGTCAGGTCTGGCATGAGAATGAGAATGAGAACATAATCAAAATGCATCCCGACTTTCCATTGGACTTTTTTAAAAGTCCAATAATTACATACATTAGCTTTAGAGCGGAATGAGTAAAGATAAATCAAGACGTAAAAGACGTACCTAGAACTTTTTTGTAAAATATGTAAACTATAAGAGTAACTGCACATTATCGTGGAATTTGTTTTGTTAGATCAGGTTTGGATGAGCATGTGACCACGAGTAAAAGATCGGTTGATACGACCATACACTTTAGAAAGGCACGTCGACACTTACCTCTATACTGATTACTCTAAAACAAACGACTTTATTATCAGTATATAACGGCTTTATCTTCTTTTGCAGTTTTCCCACAAAGCTTTGAGACAAATTAACGAGCCAAGACCTCCGCTATTTCAAGAAAGGTTTGTGTTGATACATGCCCCGAGGAAGTGATCTTTAGCGCTACTACATCAGTAGCTCAACGCATGTATCTGTCAAGTGTCTAAGCTGAGTTATTAGAAATATATTCACATGCTAACAATACACGCGAATATGCATATTTATAAGATATGGAAATGCATGAAAATGGATAGCTGTTCACAGGAGTGGACAGCGGTATGCTAGCGTGTGTGGGGAAACGTTTTACAATGCGTCATGTAGGGTGGGG